AATACGAAGACGAGGTTAAGTCCATTCAAATTCAAAATCGCAGCAACAAAATGAAGAACAAAATTTTAAAACTAGGTGTGATAGCTTTTAGGGTAGACGAGTAGCTGATAACTTCTTGTACAAGTATTTATAGGGAGAAAAACACAGTTTATGAGCAGGAGTTTGAATTTTTATATTTGTCAAAAAAAACAAACCTTCAAATCCAAACGTTTGAAGCCCTTAGGATAAGATTTACAAGAGCCACATGATTGAGATGACATTGGCGTGAAGATAGAGTACCTACCCTCTGCTTATTGTTGACAAAATACGCTACTTTTCCAAAAAAAATGAAAGAGGAGACATGATCATGTGCGGCTGCTAAGGGAAAAGAGTACAGGAGATTGAAACATAAAGAGATTTGGATAAATTTGAAAAATAAGGATAGTTGGGCTGCTGTGTTTTTGGGTCTTTTTTGGATAAATTTAGTAGTTCGGAAGGCTGAATAATTTTTGGGTCTCAAAATGAATCAAATTTTGTTGCCCAATTAGCTGAAATAGTTTTCGGGTCGTTCATTCTTTAAATCATGAATTCTTTCGAGCTTCTAATTTAATAACTAATATAACATATAATTAGTATGTAGAAAAAATAAAAATACTAATATTATAAATTTTGCTAATGAATTAGGAAGATATTAACTTGTGACTAATTTAAAAAGTAAGAAACTGAAATAGGATGACGACAATCGATATGTTTAACAAAAGGGGTGTAAAAAGTGGTAATATAATTTTACATACAATTTTAGTAGTAAGTATAGAATTATGACATAATGGTAACAAAAGTAATGATAAATAGTCGTTGTAGTAAGAATAGTATATGAAGAAAAATGATTTGCTACATTATTAATTTAGAAGCTCGAAAACAATAAATTAGAAGAAATGAGGGTCAAAATTGGGTGTCAACAACACCCTTGGATAATATATACTTGGATATTGTTGAAGCTGATTGAATTTATTTTTTTTCTTTAAAATAATAGTTTAGTAGTAGTTTTTGAAAGCTAAATTTACTTGAGGAAAAAAATGAAGATATGCAGGTAAAAAATATTATTTCACTTGACATATGATTCAAATATAAAATTTTAATGTTTATAAACAAGAAGCTGGAATAGCTCAGTTGGTTAGAGCGTGTGGCTGTTAACCACAAGGTCGGAGGTTCAAGCCCTCCTTCTAGCGTTTCCTTTTTCATTTTATTTTTTTTTGGTTTTCCTCCTGGTGTTTTGTACCTACATTAGAGCTTGACTATTCGGAATTCGCGCCACGTAGGGCACCATTCGGGGGGGAATCACTCCCTACTAAGGATTTTTCTATATCCAGGTTTTCCACTCGATGTTCAATACCCGCAGTTCTGACTATTCTGAATTTGCGCCATGTAGGGCGGGGGAATCACTCCCTGCTAAGGCTTTTTCTATATCCAAGGCTCAAACCCGAGACCTCTGATTAACATAAAAAACAACCACATCCGCTTCTCCACGTCTGTTGGTGGTACTATTTGAGGAAACATTACCATATACATAACAAAATACTACTCCAATTATTTTTTACCAAACATTTAACATGCCTTGTTTCACTTAATTATGGCATGTAACATGTTTTGATCATCAAGATAAAGGAAATTGTCACATTTAATTCCAATTACAGTACTTATTTTATTAAATAAATGGTATCTCAATGTTAACTGAAACATGTACTAGATGTTATTACATGTTATTATAGTATGGTGCACGAGCTTCTAAAAGAAATCTGTCAAAACACAATTCAATGTGCTTCTTGCTTATTCTTTTTAAACAAGAATCAAAACAAAAGATCGGATGTATTTATTCAGATCAGATCATAAATAAGAAACAAAATCGCATATTCTTTTTTTCCAACAAACATAGATTAATTTAATAAACGAGTGGATCAAATTAAATGTGTTGGTTGGATCATATTTGAAAAAGAAACTCTATCAATCTTTAGGATGACTAAATACAATACCAACATGACTAAATAGTTCTAGTCCACCATGAAGTGCAAGTCCCCAAGTCCACATAGTTGTAACTAGAAATGACACCAAGTAGCCACATGATTGTTACATATAATTTCATAATATATTATATGTATAAATATAATGTTTGGATAGGTTATATTATTTTTCGTTGTTTTATAATGCCTCACACTGAAAATGATAGATTAACATTTTAATCTGATATTCAAGAGATAATTAAGCACTTTAACTTTGAGGGCTCGTTTGGTGTGAGGTATAATAACAAATAGTCCCGGGATTAAATTATAGTACCGCTTATTTTGTTGTTTGGTTGGCAAGTTCGGGATAACTTATCCCGGGATTAATAATTAGTACCGGGATAAGTTATCCCTCTCCTTGGGTGGTATAGTAATCCCGGGATAACTTATCCCGGGATAAAATAGGTAAATGACAAAAATGTCTCTTTCAACCCTTTTGTTATATCACTTTTTACATTAATGAAGGGCATTTTTGTAAACAAATAAATTGTTCTTAAAATTTATTATTTTGAATACAACAAACCAAACACTCAATAAAAAATAATCCCAACACAACTTATCCCATCATAACTAATCCCAACATAACTTATCCCAACATAACTTATCCCATCATAACTCATTTTCAAACCAAACGACCCCTGAGGATCCACGTCTAAACACTTCAATATGTCTTCACTATTAGTTAAACACTTCAACTTATAAAATGATCGTCCAGACACCTCCAAAATCTATATGTCATCATCAGATTTCCATGAGACATGGTGAGGATGGATTGAGGTGTATACATATGCATTTTCAAAGTTGGAGTATATATATATATATATATATATATATATATATATATATATATATATTATGTTATTATTATTTCCATTTAAATTTTGTAGTACATATATGCATATTTTCTTTTAATTAAAATTCTAATATAGTGTACTCTATTTTGATGTCAATTTTTCCAGAATCTTTTAAATAGTTCTGTCCTTCTGTCTTATGCACTGGTTTTATTCCAAATTAAAACATTTTTATCTTCTAGTCTAAGGACATTTCATTCTTCAATTCTGCTTCTTCCAAAAACAGAATAAAAGAACAACAATTTGTGGTCCTTCACTTAATTCGATTCCATTTTAATGTAGATATGTAGTACTTTTATTTTTATTTTTGAACCTCAGGATAACTCACAGTCGCTAAAATCTTTGTACTTCGACTAAGCACTTTGTGCGCACTAGGTAAATCTCTATTGTGTAATAGCCTACAAACGGAAAGAGGATGTAAACCACAAGGAGTATGAGCAGTGGCGGAGCCAAAATTTTGATCAAGGGGTGTCAAAATATAAAGAAGCAAAATTGCATAGAAGTCAAGGAGTGTCAACATGTAATATATATACATCGAAAAAAATCATATCTAGGTACACAGTGTAATTTTCGACGAAGGGGTGTCGGTCGACACCTCTCAAGTGTATGTGGCTCCGCCACTAAGTATGAGATAGGTTCGACTCAGAAGGCATTGAGGGGGATCGATTCTGGATCATCCATATGGATAACCACCCTCCAAACCAACTGAGTCATCTCGAATGACGATATATAGTATTTTGACACACATTTTACTTAAAGATTTGTTAAAGCTACCGTACTTTCTATATATAAAATAATATGTATATATATTTATATTTTATAAAATATTGTAACCAAAACAATTATACCTTACAAAAGGGAGTGTACATAATCAGAAATGGATGTATAGTACTCCCTCCGTCCCTATTTAGTTGTCCATATTTCCTTTTTTAGTTGTTCCTATTTAGTTGTTCATTTTGATAAATCAAGAAAGGACAACAAATTTTTTCCTATTATACCCTTATTTACACTTCTTGAAAATTGTAAAAGTGTATGTTGTTTCTCTCCAATTTATTTCACTTGAATTCAAAGAAGTGGTTGTAATTTTGAAGTGAAAAGTTGTCATAAGGGTAAAATTGTAACTTCACTGTGCTAATCATTGTTACCTTAATCTGTGTGTCATTTCTAAAGCGGACAACTAAAAAGGGACAGAGGGAGTATTATATATGGGTTCCATTGAATCGTGTAAATTTAGCTTAGACACTATATACAATACTAATTGAATTATTAAATATAGTAGAATTTTTCCAACACTTTACTATAACAGTTTTTTTGTTTTTGTTTTTTTGGAATTGATTTTCTATGTGACATTATATTATATGTTCTCTACGATAATTAAAAAAATATATCCAAACAAATAATGTCATTATAAAGAAGTTTGACTATATTAAATTCCGAATCAAATAACTCAAATTGTAGGAAGTATAGTAATATTTCAAACACATAAAGTTCAAATCGTGTATCTTTCTCCCTATGTCCTAATTTACGCGACACAATTATAATTTTAAGAGTCAATCAAGTTTTTCTTTGATCGAAATTTCTTTCTATGCATTTTTAAATATTTTAGGTTGTTAATCGTCGTGGGCTATAATACTTTTTAGGGATAAAGCACAAATACCCCCTAGACTATGACCGAAATCTCAGAGACATATTTTAACTAAACTAAGGTCCTATTACTCCCGAACTCATTTTTATGTAATTTTATACACCTTTTGGTTTACGTGACACACTCCATGACTCCAGTTGAGGTGCGTGGGAGATATTTGGATGCCACGTAAGCCAAAAAGGTGTACAAATTTTTTTTAAAAATGAGTTTGAGGATAATAGGATCTTAGTTTAATTAAAGTGTGTTTCTGAGATTTCAGTGATAGTCTAGGGAATACTTATGCCTTATCCCTACTTTTTATATAATTTCAAAATATACAAATTTCTTTTTGGAAAAAAAAAACTCAAACTTTTTACACTATCAAAATTTATGAGCTTGAATCTCGAAATTTCAATCGGAACATAAGAGGGACTAATAGACAAGTAATATAAAGCCAAGGTAAATGGATAAGGATATTATTTGACAAGTGTCATACACTATGGCCTTATACTAATATTTCAAAATCAACACTTTGATCCAAAATATTGTCCCTCCAAAACCACAAACTCCATTTTCTTCTTCTTCTTGAAAATAAGAAAAAAATCTCACCTTTTTTGCTCATTTCACTTGTGATTTGTACACTTCTAGTTGTTTTTTTAATCTCTGCTGCAATGGCTGTAGCAGAGTTTATTCCTTCTTCTTCTTCTTCATTGACTAAAAAAGCCAGTTTTTATTCATCACAACTTTCTTATGTGTCAACTAAGATCTCTCATCAACGTCGATTAAGCTTTAAGCCTTTATCGAGAACTTCTCAAATATGTTGCTCTGTTACTTCTAAGTATGTTGTTTACTTTCTCTGTCTCAATTTATATGACTGTACTCTTCATTTTACTATGTCTCGAAAAGAATGTCATGTTTTTTCTCAATTAGAAATAACTAAACTTTGAACTTTTCGTTTTACGCACAATTGTCTATGATTTGTTTGTTTTTTGTTTCTTAAACTTTGTGTCCAGTCAAATTGTGACATGAATTGGGGTGAGGGATTATAATATTTGCCTTGCAATTGTGTTTTTGATTTTAATGATCTGATTGATCTCTGTTACTTCTAAGTATGTTGTTACTTTCTTGATTTATGTTATTTCCTTTGTCCCAATTTATACGACGTACTTTTCATTTTACTATGTCTTGAAAAGAATGTCATGTTTTCATAACTAAACTTTGAACTTCTAGTTTTACGCACAAATGTCTATGATTTGATTGTATTTCTTTCTTAAACTTCGTGTCCAGTCAAATCACGACATGAATTGGGATGAAGGAGTGTAAAATTTGCTTTGCAATTGTGTTTTCGATTTTAATGGTCTGATTTATGTTCATCTTGATTGATGTTGCAGGGAAGCACAAGCGCCGACTGTAGGGCAGACTGATGATCCAAAGAAGAAATCAGAGTGCTATGGAGTTTTCTGTCTTACTTATGATCTCAAGGCTGTAAGTTCTTCCATAGATACTCTGAATTTGATATAATATGAGATTGTTAAGTCCAAAGGCGGAGCTAGGATTTTGAATTTATGAGTTACGGATTATAAATTATTGATCACTTTCACTTAGATACCCTCATGTAATCAATCTAGAGCATATGGTTCAATGCGGTTTGAAATTAATGTTATAGTAACAAATTTCTTGAGTACATTTCAATTTATTTTTTATTTTATTTTTAACCCCCTAGGAGCTCCCACCCCTTTTGCTCCCTTGGTGACTCGAACTCGCAATCTTCGGGTTGGAAGTGAGGGGTGCTTACCATCCAAGCAACTCCCTCTCGTCGTACATTTCAATTTATATTTGGCATTAATCACTCTTTTTTTTCTTTCGGTTACCAGGAAGAAGAGACGTCTTCGTGGAAGAAAATGATAACTGTTTCTGTGTCTGGTGCTGCTGGGATGATTGCTAATCATCTTCTTTTCAAAGTAAGAAGACATTCATAATTTTATCGTAATTTAGAAACATTCATGGAAACAAAATATGGATAGTACTATTTGTGTAAGCAGTTATTAAGTCATGTTTCCTGATTATGAGAGTCTACAGGATCTATCATAATGTTGTAACTACCCCCATTCACCAGCATATCTGCAAAATGTGACCGCTCTATTCGGTTCCTCTCTTGAAGAATTACATATGTTATGGCTTGGCCCTCGAAAGACAATGCTTCTACTGAATGATATTATTATAGCATGAACCAATTATTTGACAATTGCTATCGAGCATTATGGTCAAACACACACCTGAAGTATCATTTTTTTGCGAGCTTCCCACCCCATGTATCAGTTGTTCCTTTTTCCTACCTGAACTATTACTATCTAAGTATTAAAACACACCTCAACTATCAAACGTTGCCTTTTCCTACCTGAACGTTGGTGATAGTTGAGTTGTGTTTTAATACATAGATAGTGATAGTTCAGGGGGAAAAAAGGAACGTACAATGATGGTTTGGGTATGATACTCACGAAAAACGATAGTTCAAGTGTGTTTTTGACCATTAACTCTTGCGTTTTACTTGTTCTTTACATCATTTGTTTTGATATCTCAGCTTGCATCTGGTGAGGTTTTTGGGCCAGATCAACCTATTGCATTAAGGTTATTGGGGTCTGAGCGGTCAATCCAAGCTCTTGAAGGTATGTCCCCGTTTTCTATCGACCTTAGTCTCTCTTCAGAATCTCTGTCTCTCTATGTATATATGGTTCTAGTCCATGTCAATAAGACCTTATTAGCTTATCCTTCTTTAACTGGTGACTTTACTTGTTCGTCGCCTAGGAGCTATGTTGCTTGGATTTTCCAAACAATGTCATCGCACCCGTGTTGTATCTACAGCTATCTCAGCTTCCGTCAATGAAATTGAATTGTAACAAGTAATCTAAAAACTTTTTACTACAAAGTTCATTGATCATTTAACTTGATTAGTTAGATTACATATTTACATTGTTGACAATAGAAATTATTTTTCAACAACAAAAAAATGTACTCGTACGTACTTCCCAATCCTAAAATTTATCTGATATCAGATTCGACCTCTAGATTTGCACCTATACCCGAGCAACATAGCCTTGGATACATACACATGTATGTGGTCTGCCATTAGGTGTTAATGACCTTTGTAATGTTCTGATTCTGGACTTGCTTTCACTTATATTCATAGTCGTTATCAAGTCTCGTTTGATTATTTTCAACCCTGCTTTGATTTGATTTACTTGAGTCGAGGGTCTACTATAATCACATGTTTATATGCAGGAGTTGCTATGGAACTAGAGGACTCTTTGTATCCTTTGCTTAGGGAGGTGAATATAGGTATTGATCCGTATGAGGTGTTCCAGGATGCAGAATGGGCACTTCTCATTGGTGCAAAGCCTCGAGGTCCCGGTATGGAACGAGCTGGCTTATTGGATATAAACGGTCAAATCTTCGCTGAACAGGTTTCTTCTTCTTGTTCTCCTAAGATATAGAGTTTTCGGGAAAATGACAAAAATTAGTCCTTTATGGTTGGAGGTTGGTCTAAATTAACAGCTTTAATCCTTCATGTTTGAAAAGAACTGAGCAGTGTTGGCTTTCGTTAGGTTTGAAACACATGATGATCGTTACATTTATTCGAATTGGCTCCTGAGAAGCACGTGAATCGTTTATACTGTTAAAAGACAACAAGACGAAGTTCTTCCAATTCATTTCCCCCAATTTACTTGGTTTTGTTTTAGTTACGCTGTCTGCTTTCAGTGCTGTCTAGTTTATTTTTACTGCTGGCCTGGTTTTTCTTAAGGTACAAATCGAGGAAATGAGTTTTAAACCTCCGTCCTGATTGTTTCTTCAGTTTAAACAGCTCACGTGCTTCTCACGAGTCAATCCTGTGAAATATAACTACCATCATATGACTAAAATCTCAAACATAACAACAACGACAACATACTCAGTATAGTTCCACAAGTGGAGTCTAAGGAGGGTAGGACGTATGCAAACCTTACCCCTACCTTTGTGGGGTAGAGAAGTCGTTTTCAATACACCCTCGACTCAAACATAAGCGACTATTTTTTATCATTTTCTCTAAAGCTCTATGGTTTTTGAAGGCCAAAAGGATAAAAAATTCGAATCAATATTTTGCGTTGTTTGTCAAATGATTACAGGGGAAAGCTCTCAATGCCGTTGCATCGCGAAATGTCAAAGTGATAGTTGTGGGAAACCCTTGCAATACCAAGTAATGAACTGTCTCATCTGTTTTTTCCTATTTTCATTCTGTTAATTTGCTAATGTATTTTTTTCTGTTCCTTTTCAAGTGCATTGATTTGTTTGAAAAATGCTCCAAATATACCAGCAAAGAACTTTCATGCCTTGACGAGGTTAGATGAAAATAGAGCCAAATGTCAGGTATATAACAGTCTAATCTCTCGTTCCATGATTCATTTCGCGTATAGTCGTTTAACTTATCCAACATAACAGTAAAGTCGCAAAACTACTTCTGATAATATCTGAATGTTACCTCTATGACAGAAAAAAACACTAAATTATGCCTACTATTACAGTAAAATCACAGAACTATTTTTTCTCGCGTTGAAGTAACTGAATTTTATCCAATGTAACAGTGAAGTCACGAAATAAAAAATCATGACTTCATTGCTATGGTAGGCTATGTTGCTTGGACTCTCCAAAAATGTTGTCGCGAACATCTTGGATCCTTTGAAAATGCACTACTTTAGGATTTGACATGCACCGCGACATTTTTAAAGAGTCCAAGCAATATAGATAAAGTAGGTAAATTTCAGCGACCATGTGTGAAATTAAACCCCCCCTTTTCATGATGAACAAAGAAGTTATTAAGACAATATCTCATGGTTTTGTGCAGCTAGCTCTAAAAGCTGGAGTCTTTTATGACAAAGTATCTAATGTTACCATTTGGGGCAATCACTCAACCACTCAGGTAATTATGTTTCATCGGCCGGAGATTGGACTGTTGGTTTATTTATATGGACTTGGGCAATCCTCCACACGTGAGCTAGCTTTTGGAGTTGAGTTAGGCTCAAGTGTCATATCCTTACATGGTATCAAAGCTAGGTCTCTCCCTGTTTGGGCTCCCGATCCATGCTCGAACGTGAAGGGGGTGTTAGACTGAGTTAGAGCCCCATATTGATTGGGGAATGGATGGGTGATCTGCTTATATGGACTCGGGCAAATCCTTCTCTTATGACCTAGCTTTCAGGGTTAAGTTAAGCTCAAGTGTCGTATTTACATTACTAACATCATGGTTAATCTATTTGCGATCAGGTTCCGGACTTTTTAAATGCTAAAATTAATGGATTGCCAGTCAAAGAGGTGATCAAAGACACTAAATGGTTAGAGGAAGAGTTCACTGTAAAAGTCCAAAAGGTAAAAATATCAATTTCAATGTTGTTTTTTGGCAAGCACACGTACTACGAGATCAACTAAGAAGGTACCAGGAGGCGTATATATCCCCCGCCACCTGGCATCCCTTTCGGATACCACACCTGCTGCACCAACTCAATCATCAATTACAATGTCGTAACTAAGTTAATTTTGCAGAGAGGTGGTGTACTTATTCAGAAATGGGGAAGATCTTCAGCTGCATCAACTGCTGTGTCGATAGTCGATGCAATAAGGTCTCTTGTCACTCCTACACCTGAAGGAGATTGGTTTTCTACTGGAGTAAGTTTCATCTAACTCTTCGTTCTATAAGAAATGAGCTTAATTAGAGGCACAACCATGATTTGACGTTTATCTGTTCTGAATTTGCTATCGAACTCATAGACCAACTCATTTGAAGCGCGAACCATGGAATTAAATGTCTTTTATATCCACTTACATGTCAATGTTAGTTTTCAGAATCTCTTGTTGTATAATTTTGCTACAAATGTGTAGGTATATACAAATGGAAATCCTTATGGGATAGCAGAGGATATAGTTTTCAGTATGCCTTGTAGGTCAAAAGTAAGTTTTTTTTCTCCCTAAATTCCTATTTTATCTGATCGAATACTAAGTATATACTATCATGAGCTCAAAAATACTTATCGTTTACAGGGAGATGGTGATTATGAACTCGTAAAAGAAGTAATATTTGATGATTACCTTTGGAACCGTATAAAAAAGGTACTCCTTCTCTCTCTTGTTTCGGATTTTAGATGAGATGATCACATAACTAAACATATGATTGAAAGGGCGTGTTGAGACATAATAACACTACGTTACTAAAATTTTCAGTCAGAAGATGAGTTGCTCGCGGAGAAAAGATGTGTTGCCCATCTTACAGGAGAGGTGAGTTTTTTTACAGCAATGAGATTGTTTCTTCTTTGTCTCGGAATGGACTAAAAGTCGGGTTTTTTTTTTCTCCGTTTTGTAGGGTATCGCGGTCTGTGATCTGCCCGGAGATACAATGCTTCCCGGAGAGATGTAAAAAACAGCAAACCATTTTGCAGAATGTATTTTTACAGATTATGTTGAAGAACTTGCATAGATAAAGGATAATGCAAGTGTTGTTTGTAATTTGTGCACCATTGATTAATCAGTCTTACAAGGGAGATAATAAATGAGACACAAAAGTATCAGTATTATTCTAATCGAGTTGATTCCATGATTATAAGTTCATTCCGTACTAGAGTGGTCCAGAATATGGTTATATACATCAGACTCCTATGTACAATCAAATATAGCAGGACCACTTATGGCTACTTATAGAAGAATTAAGACTAGAAATTTGAATAAGACAAAAATATAGTAGTGGACGTAAAGTCGAATGACTCAATGATTTCAGCTTAGTCCAACACAACAACATACCCAATATAATCTCACGAGTGAGGTCTAGGGAGGGTAGAATGTAGCAGGCCTTTTCCCTTCATGCTTCCAAATAAAACCTCAAAAACAGCTATAAATAATATGTTCAAAGCTTTCAAGGCTGGAATCTTATTATGATCCAATCAGAGACTGCAACACTGTACTTCTATATAACTTAACCACCCAAAAAAGGCACAAAAAGGAGGGGGGGACTATTCTTCTACAGATGCAGTATCAAAGTTTTAATTGAGATGCAATAATAGACCAGAGTATGTATGATAACATCCACCTTGAGCTTTGGTGATCAAGTCCTCCTATAGTGCTGAAACCTTAACTGGCACAGATAGTGGTTCCGATGCTGAGGCTCATCAAAAGCATTAGGAACGAAAAAAATAGATAACAGAACCAGCCTCTGGAAATCGTCGAAGTAGTCTTTGCTGGATGAATGCTATGAAATGAATCCATGGAAGAGTCATCACTACTACCCCGTGACAGGCCAAGAGATAGGATAATGTTGTAATACACATGTTTGCCCAATGGCCATCTCTTCCCATTGCCAGCAGTAGACATGTCTCTAATTTGAATTAGATCAGCAGTGACCTGAACTGAACTAGCTGACCGAGACAATGAGTTCAGACGGAGAATTGCATCTTTTGTAGGGAACTCTGAAGCAAATGCTGGAGGAGCATGAATATTGCCCAACATCTGGCTTGCCTGCTTCATAAATGGAAGCTGATAATCTGCAATATTGAAAAGCAAATAACAAATATTAAGGGAAAAGAAGCCCGATTTCCAGAAAAGTTAAGACTAATACTGGTGCAAAGCCAAATAACAAAATATCCAATGGGTAAAAAAGTCAAAATAGTCTCATCATTACCTAATCCAAATTTAGTTGGTACCAGTTTAGAGGACGCTTCAAAACCATTCTTATCTTCACCAAACCCTTCATTGGGTGCAATAGGTTGCTGAGTTACCTCGCCAACGTCCTGCCACATAATAGAAAACATAATATGTAAGCCTCAGCATAACCACTAGGACAGCTAAGAGAGAGTGAAGCTGGAAAATAAAGTTACCTTCTCAGGCAGCAGTGCTTGATCAGAAATTTGATCATCATTTCCAAAGAAAACTGAAGGATCAAAACTCATATTCTGGAAGTCATCATTTGCATCAAAGTAAGTAAGGTATTCCTCAAACATGTCGAAACCAGAGCTGTCAACCTGAACAGGATTTGAAAGATCATTAGCTTCGAGGAAAGCTTCATCATTAAATTGGAGATCATCAGTCCCATTTACAATTGGTTCATTAAGCAAGTAATCCCCATCTTCAGAGTTCATGTTCTTGCTTGATTCACCAATATATTCATGATTGACTTGCTCAGCATTAAAATTCTGTTGCACAGCTAGATCAATTGGTTTAAGCTCGTCAGGTTGCTGCAGCCAATTTTGAGTATCAGAGGAGTTATTTGTCTCCTCCGTACTTCCATTTTCACCATAAGAATAATCCAATGGAAGGGAAGCACCAGCGACAGCTTTGTCGGTCCCAAGAATCTGGGTGCAAGAGAAGAATTACCAGAAATCAGAACATATAGGTTAAACTTTCATTGTAGGATTCGACAAAATTTCACCAGGATTAAGTTTCAAACAAGGACTGTACACCTTGTCAAATAAGAGATACAACTAAATTGGACATGTCCAAAATGTCCGTTTTTAGGGTAACAGTCACCTGCTGGTCGCAATGACAAGCTACAACCCATTACTAACATATAGCGATACAGCAAAGTGAGAGTCAGCTTCTATCATATTATAATACTTACAAAGACTATGTAAAATGTCAATCTAGAACAGTTTATGCAGTTCATGAGAAAGACACAGACAGTGGGGAGAGAGAAAGAGAACAGGCTTTCCGCATCACCCAAACATGCATAAAACATAGGGAAAAATAACATATTCATCTGTGACAATACCTGGTCAAGTTCATTTGCATCTAAATAAATATCATCACCAAATACAAAATCCTCAGCAGTCTCATCCTTCGGAAGAACTTGTAACTCATCATCCTCCCATTCCTCCTCTATAAAAGGTGCCCCATACTGTTCCCCATTCTTCGGCCCTGCACCACTCTTCTGGAAGACTCTGCATAAAACAAATGCATCCTTTTCGCCAAAAAAGGAAAAAGAGAAGAAAATAAGAGAAGGTGATGAAACTATGTAAACAAATTACAGGAAATACGCCCCCAAGAGAGGAAAAACGGCAACGACCCCACAAGCACTCCCAAACAAGGGCAAGGGAGTAGAAAGAAAATTTGCATTCACTCTGTCCATCTGACTACTTACCTTCAGCATTTTTCTATTTCCCTCCAGAAGCAGCTTTGAGGGAACTGGATAAGGATGTGAGATGCTTATAAATTTTACACAAATTGAAAAAAAAGTCACTATCCGCCAAAGACAAACATGATTATATACAAACAATCTTTATAAAAATATAGAAAAAAAAACAAGAACCATCAGGTACCTGAGGAATTCCAGTGTTATCTAACGCCTCATCAATCAGTCTGTATTCATGCATCACCCAATTAGTTCTCTGACCCTTTGGAGCACGACCATTGTGATAAACTAGAGTCTTCTTCATCCCAACAACCTGAGACTTATTACGATGGACAGCCCTATCCTTTCCGGTTGTCTTCCAGTAGCCTTTTTCTGTCGCTCGGTTGGTCCTTGCTCCATTACCGTACTTCTTATCAAGAACACTAAAGAAGTACCACTCCAAATCTCTTGTCTTCAGCCTTGACATGCCTAAGGAACCATAACATTACACTAAGTTTACAATATAACTCACAGGTATCTGACAATCAACTCAACCAATACAATTTTAACTAAATGGAAAGAAGCTCTAAGCTTTGGTTTTAAAACTTTCAGGGAAGCAACATAAGAGAACTATGATAAAATAGCTACTGCAGTCAGAATATATATAGACACACGATTGCACAATGCAGTTCTGGATGAAGAATTGAAGTATACTGTGACCCAAATGGAACAAAAGGAAAAATACATTCTTTTTAATCAGGAAAGCAAAAAAGTTACTACAATTAACAAGTAGAACAAGTCATCACAACAAACCACGTTCACCACACATCTAGTCCAAGTTCCAATATGATTTCAATTAATCCTCAAAGAAAAAAGGAGGATACCACAACTCACAAAATTCTTTCTTTTATATAGACATGGTGTAAGGGCCATTCTTTTGAGCCAAAGGTCCATCAGAAACTCTCTTATCTCCTACAAACCACACACCACATACCCACATGTGGGATTATACCACGTATGTTGGTGTTGGTGGTGGTGTACAGGTGTACAGGCCACGGGTACCTGCTGCTACCTCCAACACAATAAACCATGTTCACCAATATGATTTCAATTAATCCCCAAGAAAAAGGGAGGATACAACTACTTACAAAAATCCTTTCTTTATACAACCATGGTATCCGGGCCACTCTCTATACCTTCTTTTGAGCTGAAGGTCCATCAAAAACAGCCTCCCTATCTCATACAAACCATCCTCCCCAAAGTTCACTTGTGGAATCACACAAGTATGTTGGTGGTGGTGGTGGTGTACAGGGACACCTTACTCGATAAATTACACCACATACCTGCAACCTCAAACCTCCCAGACCCCACTTGTGGGATTTCACCAGGTATGTCGGTGGTGGTGGTGTACAGGCCACCTTACTCAACAAATTACACTGAATACCTCACATACACACCGACACAGCTAACTCTGTTCACCAAAGCTCGAAGTTCTAACAACTTACAAAATTCTTAGCAACTAACCAACAAATTTGGGGAAAACCAAACCCCTAAACTCTTAATCTTTCCCTCTACTAACCAACCCATTAACATTACATAATCTCAAAATCAATAGATCTATACATAAACAATCAATTAACCCAAAAAGCAACTAAAAAAACAAAAAAATTCCATCAATCATGAGCTATAAAAACTTCAATTAAAAGAGACTAACCAGGAAGATCCCATGGTTCAACCTTGTAAATATCGATCTCCGATATAAGATCAGACTTAAACGTCCTTCCATAGATTTTCCGGCGGAGATAGTATCTAACCAATTCTTCATCCGTCGGATGAAATCTGAACCCCGGCGCCAACAATTTCGATGATCCTCTCGATTCCATCAACCACACTAAAAAAAAATTCAAAAATTCACAAAAAATAATTAAAATTATCTAGACCTTATACTAAACACAGAGAAAAAGAAAATTGAGATTAGGATTTAGGAATTTGGGGTATGTGAGATTTAGGGTTTAATGGACTTGGAAAAAAGCCATTTTTGAACTGTAACGAAAATTTTGATGACTTTTTAATTTAAAGGAAGACGATTAGTATATTGATGACGTCAATATTTTGGTTGCCCCTTTGACAAGTTTTTGAGGAAAATAAAATAAGATATTTTTATTTTGTAAGGATAAGATGTATAGACACAATATATATATATATATATATATATATATAATTAGATGTGGAGAAAAAAAAATGAGAAGGGCAACAAAAGTATATAAAAATAATACTTATCTTACAAATATTTTTAAACAATATATTACAATAATAATATATTCAGTTAAATTTTATCAAGCAAATTTTATTTATGTCAAGGTAGAAAGATTATTTTTGAAAATCTCTCTGTTCAATTTGAACAATTTATTATCTTTATATTTAATATATTAAAATAAGAGTTGGATCGAGAGCAATTTTGGGGTTCATCGGCTTAG